CTAAGTCTTTGGCAGGATTGGATTTTGGATTTTTTTAACTAGGAAGTCTGAACACTCATAAATGCTTATTAATGGATGTGTGATTGACCAAAGGAACGATTGAAGGAGGTGTGGGCTGACTGGGGGTCTTGAACTGTTACTGGCTACGGAAAGTCAAGGCCTGTGGAAGTCGATCTGGCCTCCCGCTGAGTGACAGGGCCTTGAAGGGCTGCAGGAAGTGTGGGCTTTATCCAGGCGAGTTGATGGGAGATGTGTCTTAGGAACACTATTGAATGAGTGAGTGCTCTTTGCGATCCCACGGACTGTAGTACACCAGGCTCCTCTGTCCATGGAATTTTCCAGGCAAGACTACTGGAGTGAGTTGCCATTTCCTACTCCAAGGGAGCTTCCCGACCCAGGGATCAAAACTGCATCTGTGGCGTCTCCTGCACTGGCAGGCGGATTCTTTCCCACTGCGCCACCAGAGAAGCCCAGGAACACAATTAGGGCCTTCTATTGTGCCTAGGTAAGGTGGGGCTCTTAGGGTAGGAATGACCCACCTCCAGGCTTTAAATACCAGGCTAAGCTGATAAAGCCGGTATCAAGAGATCAGTTAAAAGCGCCCTGGGAATTCCCTGGTTGCCCAGTGGTTAGGACTCTGTGCTTTCACTGCTGAGGGCCCAGCTGCAATCCCGGGTCAGGGAACTAGGATCTTGCAAGTGGCTTGATGCGGCCAAAAGAAAGAAAGAAAGAAAACAGACAGCCCTACCAAGGTTACAAGTCGTCTGAAGACTCAGGATAGACATGCATTTTTCAGCCTCTAAATTCAGTGTCCTCTCTCACTGGGTGGCAAAAACGTTGGGCCTCAGCACAGGTAGGTTTTGGTCACCTTGCAGACAGGGCCTCATTCACAGGGCACCGGGCCTCTAAGTTTCTCTTGGCAGCCTGAGAATGCAACCTCAGGAGGCCCCTGCTGCCCCCGCCCTCAGCTGTGGCTGCTATAGGGATTCACTGCCAGTGGGTACAAGGCCACCGCTATGCCCAAGTTCATGTCCACAGCAGTGAGCGCCAGAGCCAGGACTCCCAGTCAAGGTCAGACCTTCTAACTGTGCAATGAAAGCATCTGCTTCCATCATACCTGGAGACACCTTGTCTCTCCCAATCCACACATCCAGCAGCGCTTTTCACTTCCGCCCAAAGCACACCAGCCTTAGCCCATCTTCCCTCTGAAATCTCTTCGCTTCCTCTATTTTGACCTCTATGTCCCTGCCTGGCCTCTCATTTAGCACTTCTCAAGTTGTGGGTTGTGTCTCCTTAAAAGTCATGAAATTAACAGAGATTCTGGACTCATTTTTTTTGTTTTGTTTTTTGTTTTTAAATGAAAGAGAAAAAAAACTATTAAAAATATCATTTTTTTCCTTGCAATCACCGTTCCTACACATTCTTTCCAATAAACTGCCATTCATCTTTCACATCTATGTAGCACATCGTGGTTAAGATGTAGGTTCTGAGCCAGAATGCCTGGGTTTACACCTCGGCTCTACCATTGAATGCTATGTGACCTTGGTCAAGTTACTGAACTTCTCTGGGTCTCTGCTTCTTCTTCTGTAAAGTGAGAATTATGGGAGCACCTACTTCACAGGTTTGTTGTGAGAATAAAAGCTACCACCATTATTATCTCCCCTTTAAAGTTCTCTTGGACTCCCTAGGCAGAACCAGGCATTCTGTGATCAGAGGTCCCCCGGTGCCAGGTGACTTCCCAAGGTCTCTGCAGGATACACTTCATACAGCAAACATCCTGTTTATCTGTGGTAAGAGCACTTTCCCACCAGCCTTAAACCCTCGGGCCTGGCAGGTGGAAGGTAAGTGCTCTGGAACCAGAGAGACTCCAACTCTGCCACTTGAAGCTGCTTATCCTTTCTAAGCCTCAGTTTCTACTTCTGTAAAATGGGGTAATAATAGTACCTGCTTCACAGGGCTGTTATAAGTATTCAGTCAAATAATGTATGGAAAGTACCTAGCCCAGGACAAAATTAGCTGTTATTATACTATCAGAGGGCTTCCCTGGTGGCACAGAGTTTAAAGTGTCTGCCTGCAATGCAGGGGACCCGGCCGGGTTCGATCCCTGAGTCGGGAAGATCCCCTGGTGAAGGAAATGGCAGCCCACTACACTATTCTTGCTTGGAGAATCCCATGGAGGGAGGAGCCTGGTATGCTACAGTCCATGGGGTCGCAGAGTCAGACTGAGTGACTTCACTTTCACTTTCATACTATCACAGGGAGAAGGAAACAGCATCCCATTCCAGTATTAGGAAACGGCAACCCACTCCAGTGTTCTTGCCTGGAGAATCCCAAGGACAGAGGGGCCTGGTAGGCTGCCGTCTATGGGGTCACACAGAGTTGGACACGACTGAAGCGACTTAGCGGCAGCAGCAGCAGCAGCATACTATCAGAGTGTGGCTCAATAAATGTTTAAGGAGCAAAGGAGATTTCTGAAACCCCAAAGAACTGCCGTCGGCAACACGGAAGACACTCATTGCTGTTGTCTGAGGATTGGAGGGCAGGTCAAAGCCGAGGCCATCTGCCCACCCTGCTGGTCCTCTGTGGGTTTGACTGTAATCACACACAACACGGTGCCCACTGAATAGGACTCTACAGTTTATAATGCCATCTGTTCAGGCATCTACACTCCGCAGGTAAAATCCCCATTTTACAGATGTGCTCCGCATCTGCACAGTTGGCGGGGTGGGTGAGGGGGGGCTCACCAAGACAGTGCCCCCCCGCCCACTCCTGCGAAGGCATCCCATCCAACTCCAGGGTGAATGTCGACCTCGCGAGCTGGTTGACCTAGGATGGCTGGACTGCAGAGGCTGCTCACAGAAAACCATTTACCTTAAAGGAGAAATGTCTACTTCCCAATGCAAAGAAGGGTGAAAAGAGCAAGAGGCTTGGAAGCAGAACGCCCATCTCTTGGCTGCTTGTTCTTGGGGAATCCACTTAACAAGTTTACAGTCCTATAAAAGGGAGGGATAGTACCGTGCCGCCTCCCCAGATTTTTGTGAGGATCAAGTGTGAAAACACAAGAGAAAGAGCTTTATAAATGTTAGTTATTGTGATCTTTACTGCACAGTTGACAAAGAGGCTCTGGGGGCCCCTTAACCTTTCAAGACAGTTGACAGATCTGCTCAGCGGAGCCCTGCGATGCAGAGATTCAGGAGCCGGCTTTCTGCAGGGTGGGAAGAGGGATTCAGTTTCTGGGCCCTGGCGAATGAAAGAATGGCATAATACTGATGTTCTCTTAGAGCTCTTACAGAAATGAGGTGGGTAGCCAAACTGTCTTTTAGTTTTGCTGCCTGGTCAAAAAGCAGAGAGAAGATTCTTCTATGAGCAAGTTCACAAACACACCGTTGTCATATTACCTTCCCCTTTGCTGCTCAATTCAGAGCGCTTAGAAAAGAACTCCTCCATTAACATTTTTCCAAGACAAATGAATAAACCCGTCAAAATTGTTACAGGACCAATTTCTTTCTTCCCCCCCTTTTTTTTTTAAATATTTCCAGGAAAGGGGGAGCATAAATTCTGCAGAAGTCATTTAAAGTCATAAACCTTAAAAATGTTTGCAGCGCATTCTACTGGGTGAAGTTTTCCAGGTGACTCAGGCCACGGCATACCGTAGCAGCCCAGACCCTCTGCGGCGCCAGGGAAATGGCACTTCTGAATATTTTCCAAGTGACATTGCAGAGCAAAAGGTTCTTTTTCCTTCATGGCATTGATTTTTCAAGTAAACCTTTTGATTTTGAAGTAAAAAAATCAATGGGCTTTCTGCTTTTTGAAGTCAGTTTTCAGTAGAGAACTTTAAAGACACATCAGAAGCACACTGTTCTTCCTTCCTGAGGCTTCGATGGGGTGGGGTGGGGGAGAGGTGACGGAGGGACTTTTTCACATTCTGAGAAGTGGTCCAAAGGTTCCTGCTCCTGGGGAGTCGGAGATGAGTCTGGTCCATAAGGTCAATCTCCACTCAGACTCCAGGGAAATACTAGTCATCTCAGAATAGACACTTGCTTTTGTTTTCCCATCAAAGAAGCAAGGCAGTTGGAGGGGACAGAGGCCACTGGGGGTGGGCAAGGCAGGACTGAACACTGTTTTACCAGGTCAGGAAGCTCGTCCCATTTCCGGGGACTAGTGTAGAGCCTGCATTGGCACCCTGGGCCCCTGCCCTTCTGGAGGAGGAAAGGACGAGAAGACAGTGGCAGAAGCTGGAAACCAAGAAGAGGACAAGCTGACCTTCTGGCAGAGCTGAAACAGGAGCTCGGCTTGGAGGCTACTGGGAGGAGTCTGGCAAGGAAGGGAGAGTAGGGTTGGAAAGCAAGAGGGGGGAGAAGACCTCTAATGCAAAATAAGGCAGCTCAAGGACTTGGGGAGGCATGACCTTGCAGAAGAAGTTGGGAGGCACCTGCCATCCTATCAAGTGAGGAGGCACCAGGAGCACATCCTGTCCCCCGCCCCCGACTAGGCTTCTCTCTGGGTTGAGAAAACATCCACAGCTAGCACCACTGTAGGGCAAAAATGCCTGGTATTCCACGCCATCCGAAGAGAAGTTACATTTTTCCCATTTTCATGCTTACTGCAACTCATGAATTCCAACCTAGGTAATGCCAGGCCAACCCAAGGTGCTGGAGGAAAACATCCCCTCCCTACTCTGACTCATGCAGCTTGAGTGTAAATGTCCCTTCCCCAGGGAAATCTCCCTGAGCCCCTGGCCTAGGTCAGGTCCTGCCCTGAATTCTTCCCCCGTTACACTTACAACTGCAGGTACTTACTTATTTGTATAACTGCATCCTTAATGAGCATCCTTGACCAGAGTGTGAGCCCCAAGAGAACACTGTGTCTTACCTCGACCTTTGCTAAAGACCCCTTGCCAGCACAGCACCTGGGGCCAGGTAGCACAGAATGAACACGGGAAGGTGGATGACCTCATCCCAATGACGCCCCCAGAAGAGCCACAGAGGAACAGGACTTACTGCACAACTTCTTCTGGAACACTGAGGTCAGCGTCTCAATCTGGCTGAAGTTGGCCACCAGGAAGACATGGTCCTCGTGGGGCTCACTCCCGATGGCCTTCAGCGTGTTGAAGTCCACCTGGCCCACACCGATGGCAAAGATCAGGATGCCTGTGTCCCGGGCCTTAGAAGCCACCTCGGCCACCGAGTCCTGGGGCCTCCCATCGGTCACGATCATTATGACCCGAGGCACGTTCGCCCTCAGGGGCCGGGCCCCCTCTGCTTCCGAGAAGGCGATGTTCAGGGCGTACTGGATGGCCAGCCCTGTCATGGTGCCCGTGGACAGATGCCGCATCCTCTTGACGGCACGCTCCACCTCGGACTTCCTCTTGAAGGTCTTGAGGGAGAACTCATTCTTGACTGTGCTGCCATACTGGAGCAGGCCCACACGGGTGACGTCAGGGCCAATGTCCAAGAACTGCAAGATGTCCACGATGAACTCCTTGACCTTTGCGTAGTCGTGGGTGTTGACACTGCGCGAGCTGTCGATGATAAAGACCACGTCCGCTTGCTTGTTCTCACATGTGCTTCCTGGGGAAAAAGGGGAGGGCAAACATATCATAAGAGTATTAAGCATAAATATCCAACTATATATAAGTTATCAAGGAGATCCAACCAGTCCATCCTAAAGGAAATCAGTCCTGAATATTCACTGGAAGGACTGATCCTGAAGCTGAAACTCCCAATACTTTGGCCACCTGATGCGAAGAGCTAACTCATCAGAAAAGACCCTGATGCTGGGAAAGATTGAAGGCAGGAGAAGAAGGGGACGACAGAGGATGAGATGGTTGGATGACATCACTCACTCGATGGACATGAGTTTGACCAAGCTCTGGGAAATGGTGAAGGGCAAGGAAGCCTGCGTGCTGCAGTCCATGTGACCTGCAAAGAGCTGGACACGACTGAGCAACTGAACAATGACAACAATAAATTATCAACAGATAGCCAACAAGGACCTCCTGTGTAGCACAGGGAACTTTTTTCAATATTTTGTAATAACTTATAAGGAAAGAGAAACTGGAGAAGTTATATATATCTGCATAACTGAATTACTGAGCTATATACCTGAAACTAACATGATATCACAAATCAAATAGACTTCAATTAAAATAAATAAAATAAGATTGTTAAGGACCCAATGCAGGTTGGAAATCCTAGGGCCAGGGGTCACCTTTCAAATCTTCATCATTTTTCTTCACTCAGGAAGGTTGTAAGGATGTATATGTGCATGACTGGGTGGTCATGAATATTGGCAGCAAACAAGATAATATTTCTTTTTACAAAAGAAGTGAACTTCAGTTTCTAGGAAGTTACCAATGTAGTTTTTAGGCGGGCAAACATCTAAGCAGCATCAAAATTACTTTATTTACTGCACAGCACATTAGCTTGGCTGGATACTGCGGGAAGTATAGAAGATGCTTAGGGTGGGGACCCATGTCAAGGAGTTTACAGTCTACCTGGGGAGACTTAACTAATAGAAAAAGGGAGGAATAACTAGTATGAAATGGTGTGGTGCTGATGCTAGGTATTCAGAGAACAGGAATATTAGTGGGTTGGGGTCAAGGAGATGGGACACAAGCTGGCTTTACAGATGGATAGTGTCTAGACTGTGAGAAGGAACACGTAGAGATGAACCCATGAACAAAAGCCCAAGATGGCATGAATACAGCAGAAAATAGAGTGTTGAAGGCACTGCTAAGAGTTATGGATAAGAATGAAGTTGGAGGGGTAGCTTGAAGCCAGTTACAAAAAAAGACTTTAAATTCAGATCGAAACTTGTACTGATACCACAGCTGATGGGTATAATATGATTAAAAGTGAAAGTGTGATGTCACTCAGTCATGTCCAGCTCTTTGCAACCCCATGGACTGTAGCCCACCACGCTCCTCCATCCATGGGATTTTCCAGGCAAGAATACTGGAGTGGGTTGCCATTTCCTTCTCCAGAGGATCTTTCCGACCCAGGGATTGAACCCGGGCCTTCCGCATTGTAGGCAGACATTTTACTGTCTGAGCTACCAGGGAAGTCATAATATGATTAACATTATATTATGTAACTTATCTCTTCTGTAGGGAAGTTATGTAATAAAAGGTCAAGTGACTGGGGCAGAAGTTTGTGGAGAGGATATAGACAAAGGAACCCTCATACATGGTTGGTGGGAATGTAAATTGGTGCAGGCACTGTGGAAAATAATATGGAGGTTCCTCAAAAAACTAACAATAGAACTACCATAAGACCCAGCAATTCTACTCCCACATATTTATCTGAAAAAAAAACAAAAACACTAATTCAAAGAGATATACGCACCCAGTGTTCATAGCAGCATTATTTCTAACTGCCAAGATAAGGAAGGAACTTAAGTGTCCATGAACAGATGAATGGATAAAGAAGATGTGCTATATATAATCAAAGAAATATTACTCAATCATAAAAAAGAATGAAATTTTGCCATTTGTGACAACATGAATGAACCTCGAGGGTATTATGCTAAGTGAAATAAGTCAGACAGAGAAAGACAAACTGCTATCATTTATATGTGAAATTTAAAAAATAAAACTAGTGAATAAACAAAAAAGAAACAGTTCTCTATAGAGAACAAACTAGCGGTTACCAGTGGGGAGAGGGAAAGGATAGGGCAATACACCAGTCAGGGATTAAGAGGTACAAACTACTATGTATAAAATAAGCTACAAGGATATACCATACAATGGAGGGATATAGTCAATATTTTATTTTATTTATTTCTGCCCCACAATGAAACTTTCAGAATCCCAGTTCCCCGACCAGGGATTAAACCTGTGTTCTCGGCCGTGAAAGTACAGAGTTCCAACTGCTGGACTACCAGGGAATTCCCCAATACTTTATCATGACTATAAATGGAGGCTAACCTTTAAAACCTGTGAATCAGTATGCTGCACACCTGTAACTTATATAATATTGTACATCAACTATACCTCAGTTTTTTTTAAAAAAAAAAAAAGGTCAGTTGACTCGGGTAGGGGTGTGCAGTGTGGACAATCCAGAGCACTGTTGCACTAATCTGGTTGAGAAGGAAATAATCTCAACCAGGAGTGAGGGGCTGGCAGGTGGGGGCAGCAGCGGAAAAGGAGATGGTAGCTGGCCAAGAGACATTTCAACAAACGACACAGTTAAACTGGAAAACAGGCAAGTGTCAGCCTCTCTGTTACCAGCACAATTGCCATCTTACTCCTCCAGGGCTGAAGCAAGAAGCCGTTCTGGAAGGAGAATGAGATGAGAGCCCTCCCGCCCCAGAGGGTAGAGGTGGAGGCTGGGCGTTCCTCCTGGAATTTCTCCAACGTTCTAAGCGACGGCCTCCAGCCTCTCTCCCCTTCCTCCCTCCCTTTCCCAGACTTCCCGCTGGTAAATCCCAATTTGACAGGGATTAGAAGAGGGATCTCAAATGCCTGCCCTAAATCTCAATCAGCGCAGCTGCAAGAAAGAGGGAGAAAGCCAAAAATAAAGCAGTGAGCCCAGTCACTGAAATGACAAGCGGGAAAGGCCAGTGAGGTCACCCTGTCCAGGCCAGCCTGCCAGGCCCTGCCTCTCCCGAGTGCTTGCTCACACATACCTTGTGCATTGCAGCCTTACACGCCTAACAATTTTAGGGGCAGAAGCACATACCCCCCACCCTCCAGACCAGCATCATGGCAGAAAGCCAACCTTCTGTGGCACCCACATATAACACTGGGGGCTGGGTGCATTTAAGGTGAGTTTCTCAAACCAGAGCCTCCAGAAACTGCCTTTGAGGACCCAGGGATAAGATCAATATCGATCCCGACATTTTAATAACTTGACTCCAGACAGTTTTCATCACTATGGTCTCCTGTGGTTTCCAGAACAAGCTCTGAAGAGCAAGGGAACCATATCTGTTGGATAGATGAGAGCATGAAGGTGTTGAGAGTTCGAAAATCTCTTCTAATTTAGGAACAGAAAAACTCTGTGGAGGACAACACCTCACTGAGGCTTTGAGGATTAGCTGCGGGTAAAGAGCTGAGTCTTGGGCCCAGCAGGTGGGACCCCCCCCCCCCAATATGTGGGAGCTTCCCAGGCTCTGCTCCACCCACACCGCCTCCCACCCCTCTCCTTCCTCAGTCCTCCTGGGCCAGGCTCCGGCTGGGGAGGGGCAGGGTGGCCGCAGACAGCTGTGTACCTGCCCGAGGAAGTGTGAGGGCCGGAAATCCAGCCCAGTCCTGAGCCCCAGGGGCTGCATCCACTTGGGAGGCCCCTGGAGGGGGTGCCATCCTCTAATTTCCATCCAAAGTGTCTGTGGCCTAGCATGTGGCGCTGGGTCAGGGCAACACATGGACAGACCTGCCAGAACTGAGGCTGGACACCCACCCCCCACTCCACTGACTTCAGTCTGAACTGACTGCAGGGAGAACGGGACACAGCGATCTCCACCTGCTCAGGAAGACTGGAACCAGCCTGGACCCGGCCATGCAGGAGGATATTAACCAAAGGCTCCTTGGAAGGGAGGGTGGCATGGAGACGGCAGACTAGCTCCCTAAGAACGCTCTTCCTCTGGAAGCAGGGGTCCCCCCAGGGCTGGGATTCTTCCTGTGGGTCTTGGTCCCCGTGTCAGCATCCCAGCAAGCATCACAATCAATTTAAAGGGGAGCCTGGAAGTTGCACAGGGAATGATGTGCTCCACTGGATTCCTTCCCATCAAAACAAATGGGGAGTTTTCCACAATGCCTGGCATTTACAAAACCACCTCAGAGGTTCGAAACGGTGTTGGAGGGAACCTCCAGGGAGCCGTGACTGAGATTTGAAAACGAGTTCTGGCAGCCCGAGTGACCAACTTTCTCCAGGAGATCTCCTCAGGTCCCTCAAGAGCTCAGAGACATAGCTTTTGCAGCCTGTCCTGGAAAGGGCCAGTTCAGTGGTCCTCAGACTCGAGGTGTCTCCCAATTCCCTGAAGGATTTGTTAAAAACTAAGGTTGGTGGGCCTCACTTCCAGAGTTTCTGATTCTGTAGGTCTAAGCTGGCACCTAAAAATAAGGATTTCTAACAAGTTCCTGTGTGAAGTCGATGGGACTGGTCCAAGGACCACACTCTGCGAAACCATGAGTGTAGGACCTAGAGAGTTTTCTGGAGAAAGGAAGTTCTGGTAAGTCTTGACCTCATATCTTACTGAGGATTACCCAATGTGGGAAAGTGGTCATCTCTGCAGCCATGCGGCAGGGATACAGTTCAAGTCTTGAGTCACGTTTGTAGAATTAAGCGGAATTCCGGGTTATGGAGCAAGGCTTCAGGTGGAAGGAACTGAGTCAGAACCGGCAGTTCAAGGAAATGAATTCAAATCAGAGTCCAAAAGCGCAAGAGAAGGTCTCAGTTCAATCAGTCAGTTCAGTCACTCAGTCCTGTCCGACTCTTTGCAACCCCATGGACTACAGCACACCAGGCTTCCCTGTCCATCACCAACTCCTGGAGCTTACTCAAACTCATGTCCATTGAGTCAGTGATGCTATCCAGCCATCTCATCCACTGTCATCCCCTTCTCCTCAGGT